AAGCCGCTTAATGACCGGATTTAGCCGGCCAAACTACAGCATTTGCATCTTATCCGCTGCTTCCTAACCTTTCAAAAGCTCGCCTCTATTACGAACAACATGTACAACAATATAATAGGCCGATTACACCTTCAATTTGTAGTCTCAAGTTTGACTGTTTGTTTAGCAAGACAATAGGCACTTGTAATGGCTGCAACGGTCAAACTTTTTCATGCGTTGCATCACATTACGTAGCGAATTTTACGGCACAAGAAGGACGAAATTAATAACCATTGTCTTGGTCATTGTCCAGTTAAGAGAGGGCTCGTCGAGTGGAACATAATTCGTATTATACAATGTTATGCAACGCACAAATTGAAGGCCGAGATGGAGGAAATTACAAGTATTTTTTGTGGGTTATTAGGGAGGTTCAGCAATTTTTAGGGGAATTCGATGTTTATCGGTCTGTCGGGAAAATAATGAGGCTTTGTCGCTGTGCATGTCGTGTCGCCGAAGTGAAAAGAAATTTGATTTCATCGCGATAAAATTCATATTCTCGACAGCGATGTGATATGCGACAAGTGCTCATTATTTTCCCGACAGACCGATATGTAAAAAAACTTGAACTAAATTTATACTTGAAATGCCTTAGGCAAGACTTTTTGAAGTTTGAGATAAAGAAGATTTAAAGGTTGTAATCTAGATTTACAACAGGTTAATTTACTGTTTCAAAAAACTAATACAAAAAAGTTTAATTTTTTTACAGCGCATTTCAAAGGGTAACGGTCATACTTTAATACGAGGAAGGCTCAGATATAAAATAACCTTCTTTTTGAGTCAAAGATTTCCAGCTTGCGCTCTGCAGAAACGAATGAGGTTTTTAGCTGAAAAGATGACAAAAATTTAATGCGACTTGGGAGTTTACCCATGAAAATTTTTCGCCTTGATACCACCCAAGAAAAGTTTTTTTTCGCACAAAATCGATAGTGATGTAGCAAAACGATTTTTTTCTTTTTTTGCTATGGCTGCTCTCCGCGTTTGGCCTACTGTATTGGTGGCAAGGACCGTTGAATTTTTTTGGCAACGTCTGAAAAACGTTGGGTAAAATTTTCAGGAATTGATATCAGCCTGTCGGGAAAATAATGTGGATTTGTCACAATGAAATTTCTCATAGCAGTCTCGCGCCAAATCTCCAGCGGCGGCTAGCCGTTGCAAAGCGATGATGAGCGATTACAAGGTGCGATGAATCCACATTATTTTCCCGACAGACTGATAAATGGCTGGGGCGGGCGTTCACAAATTTTCTGCACTTCAAACGCCTTCTATTGAGATAGTTGAAACGTCCTTGTATGAGATGATTACAATGTATCCAACAAATTTTTTTCCCTATCTAAAATTTGCATATTTTTTATCGGAAATTTTCTGATAAATGCATAAGTGTGGCGTATTTTACCAAGAACCAATATCCGAAAATCAATTCAAATCCGGCCCGATTGCGAGGCCCATCTTCCTGTTGTCCATTGACAATTATTCCCGTCTAATTGGATAATCGGCTCGTGTTAACCCCATCCTTTGTCTGGCATTTCATTGTTTTGCGCAAATGCCTTTGTCCCCTCGACAATTTCAACGCATTGCCTCTTGGATCTCCAAGTGGTCTGCGTGGATTTCAAGGACAACACGTGCTTTGGGCAAAACAAAAAATTGTAGTATTAAAATTGGAAAAAAATGTGCTGTAAATGTTACAATTGATGGTCGAAGTAAAGGTGAATTGAATTATTTAGCTGCGATTTTTTATAGTTTCTAATACCAACTTTTTCATATTAGAATACACTAATGGTCTTACTGGGCCCAAATGGGAAATTTTTAAACCTGCTGGGCCATTCCAAGAGCCACATTAAGGCTAGGTAGGTCATGTGGAACAAATTTGAAAGAAATCGCCTCTTGTATAGCTTTTTCTTTACAGTATCTGCAAATCGTGACCTAAAAATTTGCGGAATTGACTGTGGCCATGGCTCTGCAAGATTTAGAGAAGATCTCTTTCCACATTGTTTTACAAGGATGGTTTATGACCACAAATGTTATTTTTCTTGTGTAATCAATATTGTTCCCGTCTCATCTACATAAAATTTTATCTCGCGCTTTGCAGACAGCGCCGAGATATTCAACGATCTTCGCAGGCGCCAAAAACCAAGAGGTCCTCTCAAAGAGTTATTGCTCGGGTTTTGAAGAAGCTTTACAAAGCGCGAGCTAAAAATTGTCTGAATTTTCCCGGCAAGCTGATATGCACACATTAATCCACTATCTTGCGGAAAAAAGATCTTTCCACCGTAACGTTGCAGTTTGTTCTTTGACATATCCGTCCGAATCCTCCTCCCAATGCTGTGCCACTTTAATCCCCCCACCCTTCCATATTTATTCATCCCATAATCAGGGGCTGCATGCACTTTAGCGGTGTGCCAACTTGATCTCTGTTCGCTTTCGGGCTTCGCTGTAACGCGATTTGTCAACATCCCGGCGGGTTTCTATTATTGCCGGAGAATCTTATTCCCAATTAATTACTTTGCTCTTTCAGGGTGCATTGCGGACATTTCTTTTGGTTTATGCGAACGCTTGAAGTAGCTGGATGTTATTGGACGTGTCTGAGGGGATTTTGAAGCTTCTAGGAGATTCAATCGTCTTGATATAGAGCTAAAGGCCTCGTTGATGCCTTCAGTTGGCTTGACTGCCAACCAGAGATTGCCACGGCTCCGGAGCCGGCTCTTGACTCCGGCTCTGAGCGGCTCCGGATCCGAGCCGGAATCCAGTGCCGGAGCCGGAAATTTTGGGTGCGGCTCCCGAGGCCAAAGTCGGAGCTAGGCTTCTCAGCGTTCAGAAAACTGAAAATTTTGTGATCCTTTGAAACCAAATTGCTTGAAAAATACTGGAAAGGATGTGTTGCATACGACTTGGCCGCAAAAACGTTGGTTTTTTGAGATCTCTGACTAATAGCTTTTATTTTTGGGACAACATTTATAAATTTTTTTTGCACGGGAGCCAGGATTCGGAGCCGGAGACCTTTTTTTAATTTTGCACAGGAGCCGGGAGCCAAATTTGGCCTCGGCTCCGGCTCTGGGAGCTAAGAGCCGGAGCCAGAGCCGAAATCTTGACCCTGGAAATCTCTGCTGCCAATCTTACAGTAATTTTTTTTTATTTTTTTTTTCAAAAATTCAAACTTTCCACCCAAATGCCCCCCTCTGTTTTCTTTCACTTGGACCTGTCAATCTTCCCCGTTCCCAAAAAACCCCCTTGTGTTGCGCATCCATAATTTCGGAAAGGAGACGGAAAATCAGCCAATTCCTCTCCCCTTTGTTTCGCCGAAACTCCCCTTCAAAGCGACCGGGTTTTGTGCGAAATTTGAAAACCTTTTTTTCCGCCAATGCAAAAAAAGGCAAGCGGGATTTTATTTAAATTTCGATTGTCACAAAAAATGGGATTCTGTAGGGCATTGTTCGTGGAACAATGAGAAAAAAGGCGGAAAAACATATTTCAACATGCAAAAAGCGTTGAAATTGAGTAAAATATGTGTGCCTATGAAAAGTGAGGAGAGACGGTTGAGAAAAAAAGAGTGTTTGGGGACTTCTGAAGTATATTTTCTCAGAAAAAATCGATTTTTTTTGTAGAAATTATGCACCACAGTGAGATGGACCTGTTCCAGCGGCAGAACCGTTCCATTTTGCATCCGGGAGGCATCAAAAGTGTGGCAAAATGCCTTCCTCTCCAACTAAAAGGGTATTTTCAATTGGAGAGGGAGGTATTTTGCCACATTTTTTTTGATACTTCTCGGATCCAAAATGGTTGGTTTTCTGCCATCAAGTCTGACAAAAAAAAGTATCATTTTGCATCCGGGAAGTTTTAAAAATGTGGCAAAATGCTTCGCTCTCCAAGTGAAAAAACTCCGATTTCAAAGGCTCTTTTTGTGAGGGAAAGGGCGCGCCCTTCAAAACAAAGTCTTTTCACTTGGAGAGGGAATCATTTTGCCACATTTTTTGATACTCCCCGGATACAAAATGGAACGTTTCTGCCACTGGATCAGATCTGACACTGTATATGCCAATGTTGATATACATATAGGTGTAATGAACCAAATACTTTTCGGTCATTATTTCCTTCTTTTGAAATAAATACATATGGTGTTTGTCTCGTCGGTCTTTCAGCTAGGATTTGTGTTTTTCGGGGTGTTAGTAGGACCTACTAGTCGTGTAAAAAAGCAAGAAAAGCCCTCACTTCTTGATCTGAGTCTAGGTCTCGGCGATGTCGCAGGATTAACTTCCATAACTTTGCTAACCGACTAGTACTACATTACTCCATTACTGACCTATACTGATAATTTTCCATCCATCTCTCTCTTCCAGCTCTATATTTTTTGACCCTGATCTTCCCCCCATCTTGCGCCCCCCTCTCTCCATTGTGATCAATCGGAAGATGGCTCCGGAAAGAAAGGACGAATAAATTTCCCACAAAAGGCCATTCCAAAGACAAAAAGGGTCTCTATTCTGCGAAATTCGCCGAACAAAAACGGCGGATACCCTCCGCTTTTTTCGGTCGTTTTTTTTGACAATTACGGGAGGGAAAAAAGTAAAATTCGGGCCTTTCTTCTTCCTTTGTTCCAACCGAAAAAAGGAAGATGAAAAGTAATGTTTTTGGGGGGCTTTGAAAAATACAAATTCAGCAAAAAACAGAGCAAAAAATAATGACCATCAAGGTCAATGAGGGTATCGATTTTCGGCAGGACAAAGGAAGAGGGGGGGGGGGGGGGGGGGGGGAGAAATGTTTGGACAGACAAAGAAGAACGATCACAAGCCCTAAAAAGTCACAGTAAGCCTGGAAATTTTTTCTTCTACTCTGCAAAGACTTGAAATGGTATTTTCGAAAAAAAAATATTTGAAATTATTTCGGGTCGATGACAGTTCGGGCCAACAAAAAATGATGGAATCGATCTGTAGGGCTGGTGAATACCAAAAAAAAACGGTTGTAGAAAGTGTCTACAGGGCCTGGAAAAGCCGTCGGATGCTCGGCGGAGCTCGGCGAAGGCTCGGCGAAGGCTCGGCGGAGCTCGGCAAAGGCTCGGCGGAACTCGGCGAAGGCTCGGCGAAGGCTCGGCGAAGCTTAGCAAAGTCTCGGCGGAGCTCGGCGAAGGCTCGGCGGAGCTCGGCGAAGGCTCGGCGGAGCTCGGCGAAGGCTCGGCGGAGCTCGGCGAAGGCTCGGCGGAGCTCGGCGAAGGCTCGGCGAAGGCTTGCAATATACATGCTTTTTCTAATTTTAGCTACTCCTAACGTTAGCTTGCTTTATCCTGAATTATTGTAACATATATAAAAGACCAAAATTTGCCATAAAAAACGATGATCAGTAACTTTTATCTAGATATTATTGACGTGGGTACTTGTAAAGTACCTCAAAATAGGCGACAACCTATCCTAGGACTTAATCAATCATAGTATTTTTACTAACTAAGCCTTCTCCTAGCCTCCCATACAACGACGAGCCGAGGCGGCCCATAGTATCCGAACTGTGGCTGACCAAAAATGTCGCAGCGCCTGAAATTTTTGATTTGAAGTCTGTTATATTTATATTATACTTGACATTCCAATCACAAAAGGGTCGAAAAATCATCTTACTGTAATTTATTTTCCATCCGAAAAATATGAATTTATTTTTCAACTTGCATATGACGCCTCTTTTGTATTGTTGTTGAATTAAAATTTCCGCGAACGGGTTTTTGTATTTTTACACCTATTTTTTGTATCGCAATTCTACTTTTTACACTTGGAAATGTAGGCTGTGAAGGTAAAAGTGCATCAAAACAAAGCGAATTTTGTTTTTATGCAAATTTTAAAATTTGCATAAATTTTCTTAATTATGAAATTTAACGGCTTCAAAGTGCCAAAAAATGATTTTTAGCAGAAAAAAATAAATTATGCAAATTTATAAAAATTATGCAAATTTATATAAATTATGCAAATTTTAAAAATTTGCATAAAATTTTAAATTATCTATAATTTTTCAATTTCGCTGTATTATGTACCAAAAAAAATAATTTTTACTTTTTTTTTTTTTAATTTTTTATGCAAATTTTCTGTATTTATGCAAATAAAAAATAAAAAACTTTTATTTATTTTGCCTCCGACTGCACTAAAATTTAAAAGCCACAGTAATTACGTTTCTATTTTTCCCTAATTACACTAATTTGCACGTTTTATAAGGGGACTATAAAAGTGCAAGGTAATGTTGATTGTATTGCCCATTATGCAGACACGCAAAACATGTGAGGATTTAAATGCCAGGCCTCATACGACGACGCCTTTTTTGACCATTGAAAAACAAAAATAGGGGAAAATTTTTAATAAAAAATTACAGTATTTTCGACTTTTCTACTATCAATATTATGTCTTATATATTAGTACTTTTTACTGCAAATTTGAGCCCTCTCAAAAAGGAGACATTTTGCACTTTTTTTCGTTAATTATAGCTCTTGAATGGATGAATACCATTGTGTTATCATAGTAAACACCGAGTATTTAGTGTAATCAGACATCTTTCGGTCGTAAATGCCCAAAAATTGGGGATTTTTACAGCTTTTTTAGTCTAGTCGTCCCGACTTTTGGGGTCCACAAAAAATCGATCGCTACGGGGCGTAAGGCAGGTGGACACCCAAAAAAAGGTTGTAGAAAATGCACACAAGGCCTGGCAAAGCCGTTGGATGGTCGGCGGATGCTCGGCGAAGGCTCGGCGAAGGCTCGGCGAAGGCTCGGCGGAGCTCGGCGAAGGCTTGCAATATGCCCACTTTTTCTAATTTTAGCTACTTCTAACGTTAGTTTTCTTTACCCTGAATCACTGTAGCATATAAAAGACCAAAATTTGAGGGCAAAAAACAAAGATCTGTAACATTTTTCTAGATATTTTTTATGTGAATACATGTAAAATAGCTCAAAATAGGTGATAAGCTATCCTAAGACCCGATCAATCTTATTATTTCTATTAAGTAAGCCTTCTCCGAGCCTGCATACAACGACATACGTTGTATGCAAACCATGACCATCCATAGTATCGTTGACCCGAAATGTCGCTGCAGCGAAATTGCGCTCATTATTTTCCCGACAGACCGATATATGGTCTCGATCATGATTACCGTAATTTGCCCTCTAATATTAATTTAAGCGTATGACGCGAAACTTGTAAAAATAACATCATTGAGCGCGATGAAAACGAAGTTACACTGCATGACGCAAAATTGTGTAACCTCACCTTTCTGGCTTGTGCCTGCGATAGTAGTCAATGTACTTTGAGGGGAATGAAATGCGTGTGCATTCCGAGTCGACCCAATATGGAATTTCGGAAAAAGAAGGATTTGGATTTTTGTGTCATTCTCACATCATGGGTTTACAATGCTGTTGTTTGCACCTTTTTTTGGGTGTAAATAAACATCATTATTTTTGGGGGGTTGAAAATTTAGAAAGATGAACTATTAGAGTGTTCGAGAGAGTTAAATTTTTATATTTTTAACGGCTTATTTCACAGTCGAAGTCACCTATTTAGAACGAGCTCTCGTACAACAAAAACTGACTATACCAACCAATTTATGAGGTCTTAGGAGTCAATTCTAGGCCAAAAAGGAACCACCGTACCACGTTTCTACAGAGCTGGACCTAATCCATGCAAAAAACGTACCATTTTGCATCCGGGAAGCATCAAAAATGCAGCAAAATACCTCCCTCTCCAAGTGAAAAAACTCCGATTTCAAAAGCGCGCCAACTCTTTTTGTTAGGGAATTTTCAGAACGGAGTTTTTTTTTCAATTGAAGAGGGGTATTTTGCCACATTTTTGATACTTCCCGGATGCAAAATGGCACGTTTTTTCCACTGGATCAGGTCCGTCACTGTATATAAAGAAATTTTTTGGTCCCTTGCTACTATATATGATCGATTGACAAGAGCACTACCACAACTGCGACACTTAAATTTTCTTTACATTTTGCACACACATGGGGCATAGACCACATACCAAATTGTGAAAATTTTAGCTCCTACTTTGCAAAGGCAACCGAAATATTCAACAATCTTTTCCGCCGAGAGAGTACGCGAAATGCGGAGAGCGGTCAGAGTAAGCCAAAAAGGAGGACCCTTTTTGGCGACAATTTACCCTATTGGACTCTACTATAAATATTTTTTCAGCCATTTACCGCTTTTTTATTGTGATTACGCGCCGCTTTCTCTCCCTTAAACTATGCAGCATTACATATGAATTTTAATTAATTTTACAATGTTTTCAGGTGCAGTCCATTTTTGATCAACTGCGTGCAACCTTAATCACTGGAATGCGCTCATTTCAAGTGTCCGGCATTACAATTTGTTTCGCATTTTAATGAAGCCGAGTGAAAACCGCGGGGTTTGAATTGTGACTTATGATGAAACAAAAGAAGTCGCGTTCTACGGTACCGCTGCAAATAGCAATGGGGATTTTTTGGGGGGAAAGAAAGAAGGAAGTTAAGGCTTCCTTAGCTTTATATTTTTATGTAAGGTTGAAGCCACAAGAAGACATAGCTAGATTCGAAGAGCATGAATGCTCGATGGGCACGTCAGAAGCATTTTTTGCCCCATTTATCGACCAATTTGGCAAAATTCAGGTCTTTTTTGACAAGGCTGGCCATTTCCAAGCCTTTTGAATTTTGACCGGTAAAATCTGGAATGGAATTTTTGAAGTATTTTTTTCGATAAATCTTTGGACGAAAAGCTACCGTAAACAGTCTCCTTCTTGATTTTGCCTTCAAACCTATTTTTTAGGCCGCGGGCGACGGCTCAACGACCGGCCAGGTTCAAGGCAAAAACAAAAAATGTATAATTTCTGCAAAACGCGGAGCTAAAATCTCATACATTTCTTTCGAAAATCCCGATCTGATATTTCACAAATTTAGGCCTTTTAGGCAAACCTAAAGGTCTCAAAATTTATCAGTCTGTCGGGAAAATAATGAGCACAATGCCGCTGTGCCTTTGCTGAAATGAAAAGTAGTTCGAGTTTGTCGCAACACAACTCATTTTCTCGGCGGCAATTCTATTTTCGGTGCGACAAAGTGCTCATTATTTTCCCGACAGACTGATATCTCTCTTTTTCCCACAAATTTCATTGATTTAGAATATCAACGACTTCTCCCCCACCCTTCTAATCCACTGAAGAAAAGCGCCCGACAATTGGATTACATCCCTATCTCCCATTTTGTCCCAAATTTCGCGCAATCAGCGTTCAAACGCCCGCCATCGATAATCCACCGTTCCCCGGGGGCCGTGTAATAATCGGAGGCCGAAGAAAAGCGGGCCCGATCCTTTTTGTGCGCGATATAAAGAAGGCTTGGTCTAATAGAATTGGCCAATGTTTTTGGGGAAGAAAAGACGGGATATGATATATGTCATATATGAGCGGGCATGGGTTACGGTAGATTTTTTTGGAAAATTTTTTTAACGCCTGAGGGAGATTTTTTTAAAAACTTGGCGAGAATGTTGTGGGGGTAAAAATAAACAAAAATCACTTGTTTTTAGACCGTATTTTAGGAGTTTTCAACATATTAAGACCAAAGAAAATTTTTTTAATTTACAGGGGAAGTACTCCAAGTGCGACGCTCAGATTTTGATGAAACTTGGCACAAATTTAGAATAATTTTTTCTAAGATATATGCGAGAATCTTAGCTCGCGCTTTGCAGAAACAACCGAGATTCATAGATCGAAAGTCGGCGAAAATTTAGGACTTTTTGCCGAATTTCGGCACGAAAATTTTCATGCCAATTTCTACCGTAAAGGATAATGTTTCTACAAAAAATCTAATTTTTCCGCACGAAACTGCCAAAGTTATGGCCAAAAAGCGTTTTTCTCTCTGACCGCTCTCCTCGTTTAACGTGCTCTCTCGGCGGCAAAAATCGTTCGATATCTCGGCGGCGCCCGCAAAGCGCGAGCTAAAACTTTCAGGAATTGATATTCAGTCCATGCCCGACGGGTGTGCAAAATTTAAAGAAAATCTGAGCATCGCAGTTGGAGTAGTTCCCTTGTTAGTTCAAAAATTTTTTTTTTTAATTTTGATGGTTTGTCCATAATAAAAATAGTCATCAATATTTCAAAAATTCAAAATTCGACCCAAATTTAATCAAAAAATTTTAAAAAAATCGACATTTTGTTGATTTTTAACCTTCCCCCGCTCAACCGAAAATTTGAAGTGCTGCTGCAGACTGCAGACCGTAAAATGATTTCTAATTCTTGTCTCTAT